GGCGCACAGATCTCAACGCCACATGACCCCTGTGGGGGCAGGACAGGAAGAAGAGGAGGAGGTAGAGGAGGACATTGGTGCTCAGGAATTATTGAGGGAAATGGGTGGTTTTTCCACTCAGCGGACAGCAGTGGAGGAGCAGGAGCATCTGGTAGAGGAGGAGGAGGAGGAGACAGAGGACCCAGACGCACCGTGGCAGTATGCTGTGGAGATGGAGGCAGGGAGTCCCTCGCATTCCTTGGCACAAATGGCCCATAGCATGCTCGGTTTGCTTGCGTAGCGACAGCCGAATAATAACCAACAGACAGAGGGATGACTTTTGGCTGTCCACCTTGTTGGACCCTCGCTACCGTTCCAAAATGGTGGCCTTTTTCACACCTGCTGAGAGGGAGGCCCAAAATAACGTACTATAAAAACCACCTATGTAGTCAGTTGGTCTCTGCCTTTCTGCACCAACGTCCATCCTCAGACACTGTGGGCCCTGTGCGCTCGCGTTTTGCTGCCATGGCAGCAGGGAGGGGTGGGGTGGTAGGAGCAGTGGCAGCTCCACCAGCAGCGGCTGCCTCAGTCTGCAGTCGATGATGAGTAGCTTTCTTCACCAGCGCAGTGAGGAAACTACTAACCAGCCGCAGCAGCAGCAGCAGCAGCAGCAGCAGCAGCAGCAGCATCAGGTGGACCTGGAGCAGGACCTCAAACAACAGGCTTGGGCCTACTTGGACAGCACCCTGCCAACCGAGGTAGACAATCCCCTTGACTACTGGGCAACGAAACTTGACCTTTGGCCCCAACTAGCTGAATTTGCCCTTGAAAGGCTGTCATGCCCGGCCAGTAGCGTGGCATCGGAGCGCGTGTTTAGTGCGGCAGGAGGTATTGTAACTCCGCGGAGGACACGACTGTCCACCCAAAGTGTGGAGAGACTCACGTTTGTGAAAATGAATCAGGCGTGGATTAGTCTGGATTTCAAACCACCAGTTCCTGACACAACTGACTAAATCCGCCATGAATCATGCCCCAAACATGTGCCACTTTCAGGTCTCCTCACACTGCTGGTGTGTTCCATTTTTTTGTCATAGGGTGCTGGCAGATTACGGGCCTCCCATAGCTGCTGCCAGGCCCCTAATCTGCCATGGGCCCCCGTACCGCCTCCTCATGCTGCTGCCAGGTCCAGAGTCTCTCATGGGTCCCTGTACGGCCTCCCATTGCTGCTGTCTCCATCGCCACACTCTGCCATGTGCCACTTTCAGGTCTCCTCACACTGCTGGTGGGTTCCATTTTTGTCATAGGGTGCTGTATGGCCTCCCATTGCTGCTGCCTCCACCGCCACACTGTGGCTCCACACTCTGGTTTTGGCCCCGTGACTGCCCAAATGAGTGAGGTGTGCGGTGATTCTAAGATCGACGACACTCATCTGCATGTCATACTGACTGACAGTATTATTTCTCTTCCCCAGCAGACTCCAAGGGCATTTAAATTAAAGGTACAGTGTTCTGCACTAATATGAAGGCTCTCTGAAGCCTAGAAACACCCTTTTATAAGTTAAATTTGTAGCGAATATATTCGCATCGAATCAAATTTATTCCTCGAATTCGCCGAATCAGCTGAATCGAATTTTTGAATACTTCGCTCATCTCTACTCATAAGGTTTAGCCCTGATACTCCTCTGTCTGCATTTTAGGACACTCTGGAAGGAAACTAAAGCTTTTGTGGCTTATGATGGAGCTTGCTGTGGAAAATGGGAGAATATACTAGGATTAAGACCAGGTTTGCTTTAAATGTGACAACTGTGATGAGAAAAACTCCACTAACCACTATTTACATCTAAAATTATCAGATTACATAACCTCAACCAAACCACTGAAAAAAACAACAACCTGTGGGGAAAAATTGGATCCCAATGCTTCTAATAGTCAGCAGTCTTTAATCCCAACCTATTACAGCTGAGAAGGTTTAAACTGTGGAAAACCATAACACCAAGGATTCTGTTCCCTTATTTTATTATGTAAGCTGTGGTGTGTCAAGCAGTGTGATACAGTGGTGGGCGCAATGCATGCATTTTTCAGGGTGTCAGTGTCTGAGCTCCATATTAGATGCTTCTAACTTGCAAAAAAAGGAGGTAAAAGTATAAAATGGTTTGCATTTAGTGATTTCTGTAAATTCCAATTTGAAGGCGTTATCTTGCATTTCCATTAATCCAAAACCCTCTTAAATATACTGAGGTTTGATAAGATCCTGAAACTTTATACATAAATATCCATGAAGGTTAATAAGAGCTCTTTATCAATAACAGCTTGTAATATATGTGTAGTTGGTCTTTATTTCCAATATACTGTGCTCTGTATTCCCAGTTTTAGGACTGTTCAGCACCATGGACAGCAGACCTAAGGGAAAATGTTGGGAATAGACTGAAGTATTCTGACTCAGATTGTTGTGACAGCACTTTATCCCTTGTGAGACCTCTATGCCTAGCCTGTATAAGCAGATATAATCACTGTGAGCAATCCTTATCAGATAGCTGAACTCACCAATACTGTGTTCATCCAGAAGTTGCTTTATTCTGTACATGTGACAACAGGATACAGCAGAATGAATGGTTTCCAGTATTATGCGGTCAAAAGATGATACTTTCTGTAGCGTACTATGCAGAGTACATGTGTCCCTGTTACATGTGGACTGTTAGCTGCCTCCATGACACAGGAAGTGCTGCACTCAAGAAGAAGGGAGGAGCTTCATATACAAAGGAGCTGTGTCATAGATCTCAGGGAGGTAATATAAAACAAATGCATTACCAAATAAGGCCACTGGATGGCAGCATAACTAACTATAGAAATGTCCATAGGAAATGGTACAAAGAATAAACTATATGAATTCTCATGTACATTAACATAAATATTAACTGTGTAACAGCATATGAAGGGTTAGTGTGTACAATAGACCCTCTGAAGCTTGACGTTAAAGAAGAATTCTGATAACAAAAATATGGTTTCTGCTACTAGGAACAATTGCTTTTTAAAATCTGCAAGTCTCTGTGCTGTTCACTCAATAAAGGCAAAACATTTTCCAAAGACAATGGGGGAGTACTGGAGAGAGCAATAAAAGTCATTGGGCCTGCAGCACCTGGATGGGGCCAGACTTTGCAGTTTGCTTCATTTTAGGGCAGAATGGCAAAGTACAAAGCATTAGGGATGTTTTGCAGAATGCTGGTATATGTTGAGCCATGCCGCTTTGAACAGAGTGTATATTTTCAAGTTATGGATAGCGTGGGGAAGAGCCAGAACTGAACACTAGACAGAAGTTCTAGTTGTTATCCAGTCTAAAAAAATGGGACTCTGTTTGAAAGCTTTTTCTCTTCTTCTTGTCCTGGCAATGGCGAGGATGGCATTGGGTAAGGAGAAGTCTACCCAATAGAGACAATGCAATACAAAATAGCAAAACAGTTCAAGGTCACTGATTCACTAGGTAGGAAGAATAAAGGATGAATCAACCATAAGAGTTTCCACAGTTTTATCATATCATTCCCTTTGAACTAACTAGGCTTTAAGTGGCTGTAAACAAAACATATTCTTCTATAGTGTGTACTTGCCTCAATCTAGACCACCTAGGGTTCCAACCAGCTCTCACCTCCCTCTGTTATCTGAATGGGTCCTCTCTGACAGGTTATGCCTACACCACAGATTCACAGGGGACAGACCTGCACCCCTCCCAGCACACAGAAGGTGATTGACAGCCTCAGCTGTGCATGTTTCCCTATGAGACTGTGTACGGGGGCTGGGGGTCCCTTTCCTTCACTTAGGTATTAGATCACACTCATGTCTCCTTTTTGTGCTATACAGTGTGTTACATCTGGAGCTCATACGTGCTGTGTAAAATGTGTGCTTTAGGAAGCTTTGGAGGAGAGAGCTACAGATAAACAGATACAACATATGAAGGAAGATTTGTTTCCTCTCTGTGTATCACCTAATCACTTCACTGAGTATATGTAAGGGGTTTACAGCCACTGTAAGGGGGGGGGGGGGCTCTGCTTTACACAATATTGGTTTAAAATAAAATAAATTAATCCACACTGTTGGTCTACAATGTTCCTGCTGCAATGCAAAGGAAGCTGTAAAGAGACATATAAACAGAAGCAGGTAGAAACAGGGTGAATTCTGGGAAAGTCACTGGTTTTTGCTTAGTTCCAGGCAGATATAAAAGACACAATGCAGATCTGTATTTATTAATACATCATTAAATGTATGTTAGTCAATGTTAGCAGTGTAAGTACCTGAATTTGACTTGGTATCAGCCTTCTGCAGTCCACCATACAGCAGAGCTCAGACTGGGATATGGAAGTATTTTACAAGGAGTCAGTCAGCTGGGCTCTAGTGTCCATGTGCTAGCAAGAGGCATGCTGAAATGAGGAGGGAGCAAAGTGAAAGATGAGCTCACCAGTCTGCTTCTTCTCATTCATTGTCCAGTGAAGTTGTCCATGCTGAGGGGGAGTGGCGAGACCTGGAAGAGTTACTGAGCTGCAGCAGAGAAAAAATAGGTCTCTTGTCCTACTGGACAGGGATTTTTTTTTTGAGCTGTATAAATCTCAATCATGGATGGACAGAAATACAAATTATTTGGTAGGTAAAACAGCTCATCCCTCCTGTAGCTATGCAACTAACAACCAAGGTGTCCAGGCATCACAGCTAGGAATACAGGAAGAACATGGCATCTGTTGACACATTATGCTGTCAGCTGTCACCTACAGCTGTTAGTTTTATGCAGATTTTTTGCTTTCACTAGTTGACTTTAAATTGCATAACTTTATCACATCGGAACATTTCTAAATAAAAAAAAATATACACAATGCTATATATATCATATAGAGCTAAACACATACTCTGAGTTTTTTTTTCATCCTTGGTTCCATAAAACTGGAACACAGCTTCACTTCAGGGCTGCCTGTTAAATGATAACATTTTCTAACCATTTCTAGGTGTTTTGAAATCGGAATTCCTGTCAAGGACGCAGTCATGGATTTCACACCCCTGTCTAGCCAGGAACCTCTACCTCCGTTTTCTGACACAACAATGAACCACAGCAATGAAGAACCTGACTACTTCTACAACTTGGGTGGCAGCGAGGGTAGCCCATCACATTATGGAGGAGCAGTGACCTCCCGAGCAGGCACAGTATTCCGTCATTCTCCAGGTAGATACTTCTGGGCAAGCTGTTAGTATACCTGTTGGGTCTGTAAATATCTTCTGATTCTCTTGGAATGCCTGTTTTTTGGGTGGGAATAAGGATAGGGCCAAATATGCTTTACAAATATCCTAGGAGCATTTTGAACACATTTGCTGTGAGCTTACATGGACTTGGAACTTTGCAAGCTGCCAGCCAAACACTGTAGGCAAGATCTAAAATCAATGTGATGCAATGCAAAGCAATAGCTGTTTGCTATTAATGTAAAAACCAGGCACTGGCTTTGGAAAGCTTTATCCAAAGCCAACGCCTGTTCTTTAAGCCCTCATGAAAGTGGCCTAAATGTGCTACTAAATTTACTGTTTTGGTGTTATGTAGCATTTTGCCGTGTAGAACCAAAACTTTTTTTTTTTGGTTAGATACAATAGGGAAGGGTTAAAACTTATCAGATTATGGATTGTTGTCTGTGTGCCGCTAGGCAAAGTTCCCTTCACCTCTTGTCATGGAGACACAATAGGACATTAGAGGAAATCTCTTTAATCTTTACTTTAATAAAATAGCCACTTAATATGTTGCTTTGATTTAACATCTGTTTGCCTTTCAGTGCTCCAGACATTCCCTTCTCACTGGCCAGAAAGCGCCCCCGGCATTGCACACAGCTTGGCTGCATATGGAAGAAGTCCCAGTGCATTCCCACTCTATACATCGGGGGCTTCCCACTTGGCTCCGCTTTCCTCCTCTGCATTATACTCTACTGCTCCGTTCCTGCTGAGCCCTGTTCCTCCAGCTGAACGTGACGGGAGCCCCAAATTCCTGGAGACCCTGAAGACAGAAAGGATGAGCCCCTTGAGTAATGACCTTCTAACCCTGGAGCCAAGGAGTCCTGGAAGTCAGACTATACCTCCAATGGGATATTTAGGAACAGTGCAAAATTACAGCAATAGCATATTCCAAACATCAGGTAACCATACCACCTGTAACTGCACCTACACCAAAGTGTGTTACATCCAGTAAGGGATTGGAGAAGGATTAAAAAGGATCGGGGAAGCAATGACAGTGCTGGATTAAGGTCAAACTGGTCCCAAAGCAAAAAAAGAAATCTTAAAGTCCTATCTCCTAAATGGTGATGTCATACAAGAGATTTTACATGCTGCAGTTTTAATTACAAACCAAGTAGCTTCCCCAAGAGAAACTACAAATCAGTGTTCCATTTAGTATGTGCCATCTGTGGAAAAGAGCTCTACTAGGTCAAAAAATGTCATTAATTTGCAACTTGTACAACAACGTTAGGTGCCTGTTCATCAAATCTCTATATTAAACTAATCTAGAAATGTTGTGTAACACTGTTCTAAAAAGGATTAGGTTTCATAAAGGCAGTAATGTAACAGAAACTCTTGTTATGTCACGCATTGACCTTCCAATGTGTTATATCCATTTCCTTTCCATGCTCCTCATTTTTTGCACAAAATTGTTCAACCATCATAGACCAGCGGTAAGAGCTGTCCTCTTGGTTCCTGCATTAAAGTAAAATACGTGTTCCCTCTTTCCTCCCTGCCCTTAGGTTTTCCCCAACTTATAAGTGCAAAAAGGTTAGTTTTCACCAATCACTCAGGTTGATGCTCCTCCCATGGGCATTAGAGTTATTGGGGGACCGAATAACAAATAAAGCAGCTTTATTTGTCTTTTCAAATATGTGCTTATCAATGTACGTGTGTTAACAGTGTTACCTATCCCAGTTCTGGTTGTCTAGTTTAATAGAGAGAAAGAGGGTTCTAGATCAGGAGTCTCCACTAAATAGTGGGTACAGAGCTAAGGCCAAACTGGTGATCATCTGGCTCTTCTTAACCTTGACACTATTTGGTAGTGAGATTTCTACTGTAGAGAACATGCTCCAGGTTTCAGCATAGGACTATTAGAAAGCAGTGTTAAATTTTACATCAAATTTCAATTTAGATTTAGTCATAGTCTTTTGACTAAAATGCCATTTTAGTTTTAGTCATTTTTTAGTCATCTGAATGGATTTTAGTTTTTGTCATATTTTAGTTGACTAAAATCTCCTGTACATTTTAGTCGACTAAGTTTAGTTTAGTTAAATTGTAATGCATCATTTAAGCATTTCTCTAAATTTCCAAACTCATTAAATACTCCTGGAGTAAAAATCTAATACCGTGTTATTATTTATGTTATTAAGTGTTGGACATGCATTACAGACACAGATGTACCTGCTGTGATATATAACCAGTATTAATTTTGATATCAAATTTTGATTTCGATTTAGTCATAATCTTTTGAATAAAATGCCATTTTGGTTTTGGTCATTTTTTAGTCATCTGAATTGGTTTCGTTTTTTTTCGTATTTTAGTTGACTAAAATCTCCGGCACATTTTAGTCAACTAAAATCTAATGGGTTTAGTTAAATTGTAATGTATTATTTAGGCATTTCTCTAAATTTCCAAACTCATTATATACTCCTGGAGTAAAAATCTAATACCGTGTTATTATTTATGTTTTTAAGGGTTGGACATGCACTACAGACACAGATGTACCTGCTGTGATATATAACCAATATTAACTTTGATATCAAATTTCGATTTAGATTTAATCAGAGTCTTTTGAATAAAATGCCATTTTAGTTTTAGTCATATTTTAGTCATCTGAATTGTTTTAGTTTTAGTTGTATTTTAGTCATCTGAATTGTTTTAGTCATATTTTAGTCGACTAAAATAGTGTTAATTTAATCAATGAAAATATTTTTGGCAAAGAAAGTAACTCTGTGAGAGAATGCAGTATCTGTAGCAATGACTTAAGCTGGCCATAGATGGATCAAAATTTAGCGGGTATAGCAGGGAGAGACCAAATTTCGATTCATCCATAGTCATTCCTTTTTTAGAACGATTGATCTAAAGACTTATTGCTCTCATACGAGCTTGTTGGTAAATGTTGCTTCAATCAGCGCTGCAGCCGATCAGTGTTTTCTAATGGTGGAGGAGTCTAACAATAGCGCAGCAGGGAGGATTCTTGTATCCACCTTGAATTTGTGGTTTGGAAAATCAGTTCAGCTTTTTTTTCGTTCAGCCTGCTGTCTGAAAAAAAAATGAGCCATGTATGGCCAGCTTTAATGTACTCCTAAAGGAGGGTTATTATAAAAGTTAGAATTGGGAGAGTTAGGGCAATTTAAGGCTTTGAGAAAGATCTTCTCTTCTGAGCTCTGCACCTAAAGCTATCAGCACGGGGCTTTTGGTACCTGAACACAACGTATCACTGGTGGAGGTTGTTGAAAGCAACATTTTTTCAGAAATTGTAAAAAATTAAGTTTTTGTCAATTTCTACAATGCAGAGAATGCAATTAGTTGGACATGAGTTTAGAGGCATTAGCACACTTTTAAGAGTGCTATTAGATAATAGGCAACCAGTTATATTAAGCCTGAAACTGATGCATGTCTTTTGCCTGCAGAGGATCGCGAGTGTGTGAATTGTGGCGCTACAGTGACCCCACTATGGAGACGGGATATTAGTGGCCATTATCTGTGCAATGCCTGCGGGCTTTATCACAAAATGAATGGACAGAACCGCCCGCTGATTCGACCCAAGAAACGCCTGGTATGTATTATTGGGTAGTAGGTGCTGGCATATTAATTTCTCTCACTGTACTTGCTGTCAGGCTTAAAGTACATCTAAAGGCTCCTGTATGACAATCTAAACAAGCCCACAGCCAGTTACTATGTGATGCACAAGCCTCATAAAGTAGACAAAAAGTTTCTTTTACCTTACCTGGCTAATCCAAATCCTCCTTTGTTTGTGTCTCACATACTCCCCCTCCCGGACACTGTAGCTCACAGTGGAAGGGTTTTAGCGACAGAGGAAGTGCTGTCATTCCAGAAAGCAGCAGGCAGGACTAGGTGTAGCCAGGTGCTGATTGACAAGTTACAGGCTTGTGAATCAGCAGTGGCAATACTGATGGCCTCACCCCCTGCAGCATCTTCTCATCCCACTGTAGCGCAAGCTGGCATAGCCTACATGAGAGTGCCAACTCTGCCCTATATTCATGAGCAGTGCAGCATTGTTACCACCTCATCAAAGGAAGCTGTGCCAGGTGGACTTTACTGGCAGCTCAAAGGGTATTTGGGGGACTTTGCAAAGGGACTAAGAGGAAACTGTAAGTGCTGATGCAATTATAAATAAAGTTGAATTCCACTTAAAATTAAAAATCTGCCCTTTATTTCTTTGAAAAATATAGTAAATTCTTACACCGATCAGCTATAACACGGGTGTCAAACTGGTGGCCCTGCAGCTGTTGCCAAACTACAAGTCCCATGAGGCATTGCAAGACTGACCGTTACATGCATGACTTCCAAGGGCAGGGGCATGATGGGACTTGTAGTTTTCGCAACAGCTGGAGGGCCACCAGTTTGATACCCCTAAGCTCTAACATTATGATCACCCACCATAACATCATGACCACCCACTTAATATTGACATGCTCTCTCTCTCTGATGTAGTAGCTCTAAGCTCAGCATTTGAGAGGTCACTCCTGTGATGGAGGAGGTGAGCAGTAATGAATAGGCCTCACTTAGCAAAGTCCTAGCAACATCCTGGGAGTACTCCAGCCAGGCTTCATGAAATATGAAAATGACCTACACATATAGAAAGGGCATTATTCAACTTTAATCAGAGCTGTGCAGTTTGTTTTTTATCTAAAGACACCCTTTATCTGCATAGGCAGTTTTTGGTAAAGGTGAACTATACCCTAAGTCTTGTAAGTTGCAAGCTGGGTCCTCCATGGATCAGACTTATTTTTTCATCACTAGAGATGACCACGCTTCCTTAGAACAGAAAGGAGAGGGGATTGTGGTCATGTGACAGGCAAATAATGCAACTAAAAAAATGTTGAAAATTGTAATTTTTGGTGCATAACAATGAATTTTATTGGCATCAATGATTGAGGGGGAACAGTTATGTTAAAGGATGTTCTTCCACCTGGTTCACATATATGCGGCCATGCGGGCCACATTTTGCAACGGGCACGTAAAAGAGCCCATTCATTTGAATGGACATTTGTGGTTATTTCCCATGCGCCTCTTTAATGTAAATGACACGCAGGAAAGAAGTCCCTGCACTTCTTGTGAAAATGCATGCGGGCCCCGCATGGGAACCTTGGTTCCCAGTACAGTTTCATTTTCCAGTGCGGGCTGCGCGCCATTAGAACTAATGGCACCTGCCCGCGGGTCCGCATTCCTCTGTGCGGGTGGTGTGGCTGCACGGATTCTCATGCGGATCCGCAGCGGCACCACCCGCACAGATGTGAACCTAGCCTAAGTGCTGCACAATAATTGGAGGCTATAGTTCTACTTTAAAAATTAATCCCACCCAAAGTGTGGATGGGGCAGTCAGGGGACTGGGACCTTGGCAGGGCAGGGAGGTCTCCTTGCATCCCCAGCATACCAATGCTTTGTCAAACTAATGTTTTCACTGGTATGATCATGTGCAGAAACCACTAGAGCAGTGGTTCTCAACCTGTGGGTCGCGACCCCTTTGGGGGTCGAACGACCCTTTCACAGGGGTCCCCTAAGACCATCAGAAAACACATATTTCCGAAGTGTAAAGAGCAGCTACTGTGTAGAAAGCAGCTGCTGTGTTGAAAGCAGCTACTCTGTTTAAAAGCAGCTACTGTGTTGAAAGCAGCAGTATTGGAGGTAAAACGACACTTCATGAATTATAATTACTGGGTAAATAATTTTATGGTTGGGGGTCACCACAACTTGAGGAACTGTATTAAAGGGTCACGGCATTAGGAAGGTTGAGAACCACTGCATTAGAGGGTACTGATTGCTGACCTACTACTACATTCACACTGTAGTGCATTCTGGAATGTATACACAGATGGTGTTATATTCATATATTAACTTTCTCTGTAAAAGTCAAGCTTAGCCCCCTTATGGCAAGCTCTTGATTGCCCTAGTGATTTACAGTCTTAGCAAAAGGAAGGCTTGGGATATATTAGCGCAGTAACAAGTTAAGCTTTCACAAATTTATTTCAAGAGTGAATTCTTGGTTAAGATAATTACTTAAAGATTGTTGTATGTGTAAAGACCAATTTCTGCTCTGCAGATTGTCAGCAAGAGAGCTGGAACCCAATGCAGCAACTGTCACACGAGCACCACCACGTTGTGGAGACGGAATGCCAATGGAGACCCGGTGTGCAATGCTTGTGGACTGTACTACAAACTGCACAATGTGAGAATCTCAAAATTAAACAATGTTTACCTTCTAGGGAAAAAAGTCACATTTCTCAAGCAACACTATTCTGGGGGCCATGTTACAATCTAAAACTTTATGTACTATTTTTATTCTGTTTTAAAGTGCATTTCTAATCTATCTATCTATCTATCTATCTATCTATCTATCTATCTATCTATCTATCTACAGTATATATATAATCAGGGGCGGACTGACCATTTGGAAACGTGGGCACTGCCTGAGTGCCCAGGGTCAGTAGGGGGCCCCATGAGATGCCCCTGGTACCTTTTTCATAGGCTTTTTTGAGTTTGGGCAAGGACGCAAGGGCCCCATGATCCCCTATTGCCCGGGGGCCCCATAAGTTGTCAGTCCGCCCCTGTATATAATACATATACTTTTTGTATATAGGTAATGGTTTTTGCTGTATTTATCTTGTAAATTCTCCAGTGGGGAACACATTATGCATCATACGTGAAAATTTAAGGCGGCAGAGGCGTCCAGAGATCTTAAGCGTGAGCAAAGATTTCCCTTGTCTTCCCATCAAGTTTTTGTGTACCAATATGGTCGCTGTAAATGTAAATTATAGCCATATGCACACTGCAGATTGGCCTATACAATGTAAAATCTGAGAGTGTTTTGGCAACTGGGAAGCACAGCCAGCAGCCTGTAAAAATCAAGGACAGGCTGAAATATGCAGCACCTATTCGCTGATTTGAGCGGTATACGTGTACAGAGTCTTTTGCATACAGGGACGTATGCCTGATATATGGACATTTTGCATTTGGGGCATAAGTCCATGAACACATATGGCCCTGTACCCTAGTGCTACCCATAACAGCATACAGCTGCCATGTACAGTATTTCAGCCTGTCGTTAATTTTGACAGGCTTATGGCAGCAGGCTGTACGCTGCACCTGTACCTTGAAGGCTCCAAAATATGCTAGGTTTTACACTTGCCAGACCACCCATATGCATGAGGCCTAAATGTGGTCAGCCATTTTGGGCTAAAGCAGGCTCAAAGGCTTTCTACAATGGCCTTCACTGGACACTGGAAACAAACTGTTTCATGCAGGAAATTGACTTCCCCTGCATCAGAACTTTTATTAGTTATCTTCACTTTTGATAAAGCAGAATAAAACGTTACAGTGTATCTGTCATGTTTTTTTATTGTCTGTATTTCCACTGATTCGATTTTTCCTGGTTTCCTTTTCTGGAGAAACAATAGGAAGTGAGAAAAACTCTCCCCAAAGTGACAACTGCTAAATCTTGGATTTCTGATCACTTTGTCATGGTGAAAATGGTCACCAGGACAAATAGCAAGGAAACATTTACCCAATGGGGAGTTAATTCCTTATTGTATCCAAAACGTTAAAAAAAACCCTTTTATTATACTGTAGATGAATTGTTGTGTTTAGTTACAATTATTACTATTCTAACTTAAAGTACTTTAGCAATTAGTTCCTGATCTTAGTTATTACAGCAATATATGTTTTAGTGTATTTTTAAAGTAGATGTAAAAGCAAAACTTTAAGGAAAATTTCCTCTAATGTCCTGTTGCATCTCTGGGGTGGGAAGCGAATGGAAAACTCCCCAACAGTTCAAAAACAGCAAAAACAAAACACCTGATGGGCTTTTAACCCTTCCCTATTCTAGCCATAACTAAAAAAATTTTTTTTTGGCTATACATATTTGGCATCAGGGTTTCCCCATAATTCATCACAGGCCCTTCAAGTCTGATATGATTTTTAGAGGGACTCAATGCAAAAAACCTCCATAAAACATGAAATGCCATGGGATCTCCCTGAATATCCATACCAGACCCTTTTGGGCTTCATAATTCATCCCTACATGCATTACATCTTCTAATTGGCTTGTTATATCACCATTCAGATCCAATATACCAAGACAGGTTTAGCTTTGAGGAACCTATTCACAGTAAAACTTTACTTTTCTGCAGAAGCATTGAGAATTCCCTATGATGCAGAACAAGAGTTAGACAGCAGCAGCAGGGACAGTGCTAGGATCTAAAAATATACATTTTTGGTGGAGTGATCCTTTTAAGAAAATACAAAAGTAGCCTTTTTTACTGATTTACATTCTAAAGAAATGTTTTTTGATGTTGATAAATGATGCAGCATCTTGGCTTCAACATCTTTTTACAGGTGAATCGCCCCCTGGCAATGAAGAAGGATGGAATCCAGACCAGAAACCGCAAAGTGGGCAGCAAGTCCAAGAAGAAGAAGCAACAGGTGCAAGATGGTCTCTATGAGAATCACAAGATGACCCTAGAGGAGCCAGCCATGTTCCCATTTGCACCCATCCTGCAGATACCTCCTTTGGGACACCTGGTGCCTGGCACTCCTCCACATCACTTGATTACTCCCCCCAGAATCCCTCACTCACCTCCTCCTATCACCTACAGGCCGCACCTGTTTTCTGGGGTCACATCAGCTCTGAGCTAAAAAGAGCAACACAGACTGTGATCTACAATCTCTTCAAAAACCCTCTCTTGGCTATAGCCAGAAAGGGTAGTATCAAAATTCTGGGTTGCTTTGGAGCACTAGACATATTTAGAACCATTTTTGTGCCCTTGGTAATTCCACTGTTCCACAATGCACCCAGCCATACTTGTGTCACTGGGAGGCTTTTGAGGTTGTTACAGACAGAAAACTGTGGTAGGGACTGAGCCTCTCTACCAAAACATTCAACCAGAACCGAAAACCAGATATCTAGGCAGTCTGGTCCTTGCCTTTTTTAAAGTCTGCGGCTCATGAAGAGGATACATAAATAACACATCTATGCTTTCTTATGTGTACATTTTTCCTGAGAATTATTTTATAAAACGTTTCCTGATAACCACCTGCGTGTAATGGTCTTCTTTTACTGTAACAATATGTAACTCAAGTGAGAAAGTTTTTCAGATTTTGGCACAAGAAAATGTAGCTGTTGTGTTGCTGCAATAGTATTATGTTTGCTCTGATAATACATTACAGTTAGAAATTTGGTTAACTTTATAAAAATACTGTAAGTTTAGGTTACCTTTAGGGCTATGTTTAGGTTAAAGATTACCTCCAGGCAAATTCTGCTCTCCCCAACACCCCATGTACTTTAATTTAAAAAAAACCCAATATGTTCTAAAGCATTTTAAACTCTCCTGCCTCGTTTCATGGCACCTGTTCTGGGAGAAGAAACTGGTGATCCTTCCTGTAGTTTGCACCCATGCCAACTGGTCCCTATGTTGTTACATTGTCATGCCTCTGCAGTCTGTAGGATCTGAAAGGGATCCTGAAGAAGGACCTTCCCACTTTGCAGTCTAGAAAAGAGAATACTTGGGACCTGGCACATCATGTGACTATGGATTTAGGTAAATTTATTATTTATTCATGGCAGAAAATGGCAATACATGAAAAATATTATAGTGCACAGTGCTCAATACCCACAGTGTGTACATAGACATCCAAACAAAATCATAAAAACAGCGTCAATTTAAGGATGTGCAGACGTCACAATATATGTATATATCACCTGCAGGATACCTATTACGTGAATTTACGTATATATACCTAACAATGGTTCAGTACAGATGGCACTGCAGGATACATACTGTATACACACATGCCTCAGGGCCCATTAGCAATAGATGGTTCCAATAATGATGATTCTCTATGCATGATGAATATCACAAGGGATGATAGGGACAATCCCATGGTCACTGGCAATGATCAGAAAATGAAGGTAGAAGCTGGAAGCGATAACGAGATGACTGGTAAAATAGTGATGATACATCCAAGGTACATCTGATAGTCTTAATCCAATTTGATCAATGATAAAGTCACTGTTTGACCTGGCATATGTTACCACATAAATGGCATCGGCTTGGCCAATATAAAGTAGTTAGGTGGGCACTTGGATAGCGGATTGCCATTTGATGCAGCGAAGGTTATATAGTATAAATCTGTGAGTTCATAGCCAATCCGCATTAAGGTAGTGGATACAGTAACTCAAAGTCCATCCAGCAATTGAGCAAGACCAATGGCTGTACGTGGAATTTTCAAGCTCATTATTGTGCTAATTCATCCCAGGAGCTGAAGCAATCATTACCCACATAGCCGGCATGAATAGGTCTGCCCAATTATGCTTGTTGTGGTGGTACTAGTCCCGATACTGATCAGGGCAAATGGGAGAATACAGTCTTACCGCTCCACTGCTGTCTCCATACCGGTGCTTAATGTGGCTGAAAATCAGTAGTTGGAACAAGTGGAAATTCAAAGCCGTGGCCTTTAGGTTATCTCTCCCTCCACATTGTCCATCGTCATCACTGTGTGGTGGTGCGACGTCACTTGACGCCCTCTGATATCAATGTGTTTCGCTTACGTACAAGTGTAAGCTTCGTCAGGTAAACATGGGAACCACGTAGTTACTCTTTATATATGGTGTCTCATACAACCATATCCACACGATGTGATTTTCTTAAAGGGGACATTGTGTTAATTACACCTGACTTAATTAGGGATATTAAGTGTCAATAAATTAGATTTTCGACATAAAATAATACAATAATACATAACATTGATTAAGCCCAACAGTCGTTTCCAAAAATTTAGATGTTGTCAACACCATTTTATAGCTTCATAGTAATTTTAATAATTTTAATTTTTATATATATCGATGTGTCAAGATGAGAGGTAGGGGGAGGAAAAAAAAAGGGAAGGGGGAGAGAAAGGGGATAAAAAGGGAAAAGAAAAAAGGGGTAAAAAAAGGGGGGTGGAGGGAAAGAAGAGGGGAAAAGAAAAGGGGAGAGATCGCATGCTATCATTCTTCTAAGAAGACCTGGAGATTCAATTCTGTATCAAGGCCCAAAGGGGCCTATGATCTCAATTTATATATCCACCACTTTCCTGTATTAAAGTCTCCACGTCTTTGAGACAGCTTAAGGGCAAAAATACTTTTTACTTTCATTCCCTCTAGACTACCTCCATGGTATTTCCTAAAATGTTTAGGAAGTGGCTTTTCCAAATTTTTGGGATCCTTGTCTTTAATTTCCTGTATATGTTCACCTATCCTAATTTTTAATTGTTTTTTGGTCTTACCAATATAGATTTTATCACAAGGGCAAGTGATCATATAGATCACCTTGGTTGTTGAGCAATTAATTAGATCTCTGATTTGGAAGCATTTTTCTTTCAAAGAATCATTGAAGACATTAGTCCGATCCACATAGTTACATATTTGGCATCTTCCACATGGGAACATTCCCCAAGATCTGGGGTGTTCAGAGAGCCAATCACTAGACAAGGTCTTAATAAATTCAGAGTGGAACAAAATGTCTCCAAGGATCTGTGCCCTTCTAGCCACCATCAGTGGGGATCCCCCCACAATGGTACCTAACCCAGGGCTATGCCAGGCCAGGCCACTATGCCCCAATGTTTTTGGAGAATCCCTCTTACCTTAAATCAACATTGTTTTTATGATTTTGGTTGTATGTCTATGTACAAACTGTGGGTTTTGAGCACCGTGCACTATAATATTTTTCATATATTGAAATGTTCTGCCATGAATAAATAATAACTTATAAATACAGCTTTTGATACAAGCCTTGTCTGCTGTCAGATTAACCACTTGTCCCATATAGGGGGCTTTACCCCCTGTATGTGACCTTTTTTGTTTTGCATTTTTTTACAGCATAACACACATTATGCATTTTGGTGTGTTGTAGTGCAGGTGCATTGTGGAGATGCATTTGGGTGCTATTTTAAATGAATGGCATTGTAACACATCACTCATGTGCATAGCGCATTCATTTTACTGCCCGTTATAGCAATGTGCTGGTGTGAACAGGCCTTAAAATTTAAAAGTCAGTCTAAGAGCAGAAACCATTAGTTACCAGTTATTACTTTTAATAGAGAAAATACCTCCTCTACGTCACCCTGATTTTCTCTGACATCATGGTTAAACCCTTTTAACTGCCTTTCCACTGTCCAGCAACACTTAGCGGCTGGTAAAGGCAATCTCACTGAACAAGGGAACTGCAGTTGGTTATAATTAGTCATGAAGTGATTAGCCATGGTTAGCAGAGTGGCTTAAAGGGTAGTACTTCTGCCTTGCAGCACTGAGAACCTTGGTTTGAATCCCAGCTGGGACACTACCTACATGGAGTTTGCATACTATGCTCGAGCTTGCATGGGTTCTTTCCCACACTCCAAAGACATTCTGTAGGTATATGACTCCTGTGTAAACTAGTCCTAGTATTTGAGGTAGGGGCCTTAGATTGTAAGCTCCTTGAGTGAAGGGACTGATGTGAATGTACAGTTAGTAAAGTGCTGCATAAATTGATAGAGCTATATAAATGCTTGTAAAAAAATAAATAATGAGGTCAAAGAATGTCAAGACCCATCGGACAATGTCTCGTCTCTGCTACATGGCATATTCTTAGCTCCTGAAGGTATCTTCCCCTTTTGTGCACTGTAATTTCTTCTACCACTTGAAATGTCCCGTATTGTAGGAGCTGGCAGGAAGAACCATAGCAGGGACAGGTATTCAACACCCCCAAGAGTGTTGGATTCCTGCAGTAGCTGGTTATCTCCAGGGCTTAACATTTCGAGTCTAGACCTACTAGCCAGGCACAAAGCTTACTCTCTACCAGTTGCCCCCCCCAACCTTGCCCAGGTCCGCCTCCAACCCCACCCCCGGCCCACCCCCAGCCCTGCCCCCAACCACGCCCCCTTAAAGCTTATGAAATAAAATTTTTCTTTAGAATAAAGAGTCCAAAATATAAAACTGTATACAGTAATGTATATCCCAGCTCCCCTGTACTCCATTATAGTGATATGACATGTATACAGTAATGTATATCCCCCCTCCCCTGTACTCCATTATAGTGATATGACATGTATACAGTAATGTATATCCCAGCTCCCCTGTACTCCATTATAGTGATATGACGTGTATACAGTAATGTATATCCCAGCTCCCCTGTACTCCATTATAGTGATATGACATGTATACAGTAATGTATATCCCAGCTCCCCTGTACTCCATTATAGTGATATGACATGTATACAGTATGTATAAATCCCAGCTCCCCTGTACTCCATTATAGTGATATGACATGTATACAGTAATGTATATCCCAGCTCCCCTGTACTCCATTATAGTGATATGACATGTATACATAATGTATATCCCCCTCCCTGTACTCCATTATAGTGATATGAATATACAGTAATGTATATCCCAGCTCCCCTGTACTCCATTATAGTGATATGACATGTATACAGTAATGTATATCCCAGCTCCCCTGTACTCCATTATAGTGATATGCCATGTATACAGTATGTATATCCCAGCTCCCCTGTACTCCATTATAGTGATATGACATGTATACAGTAATGTACATCCCCCCTCCCCTGTACTCCATTATAGTGATATGACATGTATACAGTATGTATCCCAG